CTAATATCATTAGGCTTTGAAGACATTGTCCAAATAAGTGGACTGTAATATTGCATTAATTCTTGTACGTACGTACTCACATATTAACTCAAACGCTACGATACTTCTTAAGTTATAATGATGAAGAAAACTTCTGATGAAGAATGGCTTAATAAAGCCATTTCAGAAGAACATATTAACTCCTATGAATATGATGAATTTTCTAATTGCGAGGAAATTGGGTCAGGTGGTTTTGGAACTGTGTTTAAACATGAATGGATAGCAAATGAGCTGCCAGTCGCTCTGAAATGCCATAATGTCAGCACAAATAAATTTATTCGCGAGGTATTATTTATTATATATATGAAACTTGAAGTTTTTTTGTATGAATGGATTATATATTAAATATTTATTCGCTTTCAAGCAAAAATGCCAATCCTTCCCCTGAGCCAATATCCATTGTCTGACCATTGTTGATAGTGAATCTCATGAATCGCTCATGTGTGTTTCATGGTTCGTCTCATGCTGCATAGAGACAATTAGAACATTTCTACATCGGTACTAGGAAATTATTCACGCTAATCTTTTTTTTGAAAAATAAGGGTAAATCGTGGCTTGGGATAAATTTTTTTGTACCGTATTACCGCGTAATAACGCACAGGGGTGAAATTATGAATTTCGGCCCGAATTAAGCTTAATTTTGGCCGAACCTCGAAATAACGCTCATGAGTGTTATTACGCGAAAATACGGGTAAATAGCGATAGTAGGTTAGATGCATATTTACTGGTATGTGGTACAGTTATTTCATTCAATTTTGAACGAAGTCGCTCATACAATTTTGAACGATGTCATCATACAAATTTGTACGAAGTCAATCATACAAATTCGTACAATTAATATATTTTTTATATAGAAGACATAGTAAAAGTAGTTTAAATAGCGAACACAGTCATCATGTACGCAGTAGTAGTCTAAAAGTATATAAGACCTACCTTTCGCTTTAATAAAAGGGAGAGTTAGAGTTTGTCAATTAGAGTCTATATTTCTGATTTTAAAATTCCCTCTAATTCCGATTAATCAACTTCGATAACGCGCCTAGTATTGCCACCAAAATCAGTTACGTAATCGTTTTTTAAATTTCAATCTGCGCACAAGAAAAATAAAATCACGAAGCCATAAGATTTTTGTAGAAATAATCGAAGCTTTTTTATATTTTTCAACTTATTAGAATTTATTTAATTATCGCAACAAGTTCTAAATAATTACACTCAATTCAAATGTATAGAATACTTTACATCCAAGTTCAAGTTTTAATTAATACATGTGTAAAGCTTCAAATTTTAATTTTTTATGTTACTAATAAAGGATTTTGCTACATCCACTCCAAGTTTTTGGAAGCTTTTTTGCTCGTTCAATATCTTTAATGTCATTTTTTCGAATAGGTTTAAAGTTCGATTTAATACATCGAAGCCTGAGAAGTAATTTACCTCATGAAGAAATTTCTTAAAATTTCAGATTCGGATTCACTATCTTCTGAATTTACCAGATCGATCATTAAATTGACTTGTGTAATTGATTAAAGTTGATACTTGAATATTTTCCCATAAAGTTTCTTTAGGTTCCGTACTGAGAGGATATTGAGAATTAAAATTAATATAATATTATATTTAGAAATTTTAAACCAAATATATGACAATGAACTTGCAAAAGCTTCATCTCTGTTATTACTGAAATATCTACAACTATCTCAAGATCCATACACATATTGCTTTCTCCTTCAACATCTATAAGTTTTTCGTAAACTATATATTCAAGCACTTCGGTTTATAGCATTTTCTTTTTGCATGCGAATATCATTTAAAATTTGACCTGTTTCATTTACACGGGTTGTACACTTTAAAAACGTGATTTATTATTACAGTATTTTGAAATGCAGTTTTTGGTTTCATGAACAAAGTTGTGTGTTTATTTTAGAAAATATTGTATTACAAAATTCAAAGAAATAAAAACTTTTCAATATAAAAATTTGGTATTATTATTCTTACATATGCTATTAATCAAATGCCGTTATTATTGTATAAACCATTATATTAATTTTAATATCGGCAATAAATTTATTAACCGGCAGAAAAATTATTTCTTTGGTTTTATATTCATTAGCAGTTGCTTTATGCGCTTGCTTACTAGTATCGTTCATTGTAACAAAGTCTTGTGCTGCATTTTGAATAACCTGCGTGATACCCGGAATAAGAAGTTCTACTTGGCTTCCAAAAAGTCTTGGAGGACAGAATTTAGAGCATGTCCTAAATGTAAATTGCCGGTAATATTGGGTGGCGGTAAAAGTAAAGTTTTTGTCGTTTTTGTGGTTTGGATTATCGGAATTCAGTAATCGCAATTAGAATTTTGTTCGGTGATGGAAAAATTGTAGCGAGGAGGAAACATGCGTGTTTTTTAATTACTTTATACTAGCCTCGCGGGAGGAAGCATTATCAAGATATTCAGAATGAAATGCAGATTTGTGAGGAGTTATGCTAAGCTCCGTTTACATAGCTGATTTTGGTGGCGATGTATACTTAAGCCTTAAACCAATTCTCGTTTCTTTATGAAATTACCTTAGATATGGTTTATGATAGTAGTTTAAGGTAACTTATAGTTGGATACTTACCTCTAAGGTGCATAGTTCTGTAGAATAGTCGAAATAGAAATGGTTATTAGATAGTGGATACTAGACTTATTAGATATTTATCGATAGAACTGGCATTTAGCAAAGGAAATCCCACATGTTTCCTTTATGGCAATTAAGTCATCCGACAAAGCAATAATAAATAGTTTTTTTCATTTTTTGCTTAATTAAATTTTATAATATTAGTACGTATAAAAAAATAAATAAAATAAAACAAATTCTAAAAAAAAAATGTACTAAAAAAAGCTTCCACTAAAAAAAGTTATAGCTATTAATATATTTATATTAAGTATCGATAATTGGCATTCTAGTAGTATAATTGTTTTCAATAGATCTAAGTTTGGATAAATGCTGCATTCATTTAAACTTTAAATATAAAAAAAGATTTATTTATATATTATGCATGTACATACATAGCAGCTATCTAAATACAGAAATATAATATTAAATATATGATGTAATATCTTTTAAAAAAAGAAATACCTTTTTTAGATTTAAATAATTACTTCGAATTTTAGTGTTTATTTAGCTAAAATAACTAAAAACAGTACATATAACTATTTTTACAGATCAAATAATAGTAAGTTAGATACAAATCAAGTATTTGATTTTAAATTAATTATTACCTAATTACTACTGATTGATTTGAATTACTTTATAATAATAAATAATGAATTTTTTTGTAAATTTAATTTTTTTGGCATTATTTTTTCAAAATTTTAGCTAAATAATTTTTTTTTTTACACTATATTTTTACTAAAATTAAAAAATGTCTACAAATACTCAAGAAATTCTTATTTTTCTTGCAATGTGTGAATTAATGCTTCAAGAACTTGAAGAAGAAGATGATATGATTGATAGAATTCTTTTAGAAAATTATGGAATTTTATTTAATAAAATTTCAAGACCAAAAACTAATAGATTTTGGAATGAGGTTTTTCCTTGTCTTGATAATAGTAATCCTAATAATGATTTTAGAAGACATTTTTGTATTACAAGATCTTGTTTTAATAATCTTATTCAGCAGCTTTTAACACATTCTGAATATTAATTAACAGCACCTAATTCAACACCAATTGATAAACAAGTTGCACTTGTACTTTGGCGCTTAGCAAATCATACTGTAATTAGAGAATTAGAACAAGATAAAGGTATATCTATGGGTCCTGTTATTAATTTTACAGAAAGATTTTTAAATGCAATGTTGGATATATATAAAAATCAACTTATTTTATAGCCTAATAATACAAACTTTCAAGATATTGTTAATGGATTTAAAACTTTAGGAAATTTAGAACCTGTTATTGGAGCTATTGATGGATCATATATTCGTATTATGCCACCTAAAGAATTTCCTACAGCTTATATTAATCACAAAGGATTTCATAGTATTGTATTACTTGGAATTGTTGATTAAAGAGAAAATTTACTTATATTTATATTGGAGAACCTGGAAGTGTTCATGATTCTAGAGTTTTTCAAAGATCACAATTTTGGAAAGATGCAATAAATAATACCAATAGAAAATTTCCAAATGAATCATTTATTTTAGGAGATTCAGCATTTCTATTACAAACATGGCTTATGGTTCCTTTTAAAAATCCAGAAGCAAATTTAGATCCAAGATATAGAGTATATAATAGAATACATTCTTCAATGAGAATAGTGTTCCTATTGAACCTAGGTTCAAAGTTCATGAACATGTTCAAAGTTTTGAATAAAGAAAAAAGCATATAA